GGTATAACCAATTGCGGAGGAAATGTGTAGTTACAAGGAATCTATATAATTAAGCAGAAAAAAAGATACAACTACTGTCAATATGATTAGCAACAAAAGAAGCCATTATAAAACACAAAAAACTTTAGAAGTACTACCAAATAAGAAGACACGCTTTTTGTTACTCCATCGGTCGGGGGCAGCTCGTTTAGTCGTCGGACAGTGGAGGGTAGTCTAAATTTGAAAAATTCTATAAGAAAAACCTTCCAATTGATATGGTGCCAAAATTTTAGCTAAACTAGGCCAGGTCCAGGTTACACAAGCTGACAAATTTGCAAGACACAATTTGTTCTCAAGTTATGACTTTCCAATTAGTTATCTGAAACTGGTTTAAAAGCATCAGACTCACTTAGATTGCGGAGAAGCATGTTGAGCCAATGTTTTGTCGAACGATCTTCATCCAAGCTTATCTAAATTTAATAAATTGCAAGTAGTCAAGTAAAACAAACCTTGAAGGTGTCATCACGCAATTGATCAGGAAGACATTGTCGCAAAGCTTGACGAGCTCTAAAAAGCACCAAATTAGATAAATTTCTAGCTTAAGACGAAGTACCTTGGATTGTCCGAAAGTCGTGAGTAGCAGCGCACCACGTGTTTCAGCAGTCGAGGCGACGCTTCTTTGGCCAATTTGAGCACCTAAGCTTTGCACTGATCTTTAAACGGTCGCAAAAGACTTACCATCTTTCCCAGAATCATTGCCACATGTGAGAATCTTTCATAGGTTTGACAAATATAAGCCAAACCCGTATCATCCAATAGAATTTTCTAAAGAAATCGACGTTATTCTTTGAACTCAAGTTATGCAACCTGAAGAATGAAGGTGGCGACCGTCTTGCTAAGCTCGGTTCCCTGTTCCATAATGCGCAAACAGAGTGGAATGATCTCCGTCGACAGCAAAAATTGAATTACCTAAAGGCAAAATGTTGCTTGAGCGAAAATGGCATTTACTTCTTTTTCATCGGTTTTCACAAGTGCACCGATCACACCAAGCGAAGTGAGACGAAGATATTCAAATGGACGAGACGTCTTTGTTGTGTGCAGGAATGGGTAGAGAAACAAGGGGATGTGAGCTAAAAAGAATAAATTTTAAAGGTAACGCGACTAGACTAGTTTCACTCTAGTACTAACCCGCAAGGAATGGTCCCCGAGTTTCCTTATGACTTGCGACGCATTGCATCAAAGCGAGAGCGTTACACGTTCGATTCGATTGAGCGGCGGTGAGAGTGGGTGGCATGATGCATGGATAGATTGAAATTACCTAAAAACACTAGTAGGTTTATTGAAACCTAGGTAGCTTTCATCTTTCAACAATTTTTATCACTATTGATTAAAAATTTAACTCAGTTACATCTGTGATTATTGCCGGTGCGCTATCAAAGTCTACTTTAAAAGTACCTCTTGCAGGAGGCAAGCCATCGTCCCAAACGAGTGCCACAGCCAGATGGGCAACTCGGGAATCGCATCACGTTTCTTGCTAAAGCAAAATATTGTCAATAATCGATTTTCAAAGAACCTCAGCTCCAAAAGCACTTCTTCGCGGCGCTTTGGATCGCGCAGATCGATGATCAATTGCACGATGTCGTCTCTGTTCACCTAGAAAAAGGAAAATTAAAAATGTTCTCGTCGTTCCTCGGCTTAATCGGCCAACAAAAACGCTTCAAGAGATATTTTCATTTTTAAAATGCGCCCCACTCTATCTACCGTTAAACATAAACGGGAAAACGTTAGGCACAAGTAACCTAGTTTGAAGTTAAACACCAAATACCTCTTCCTCCTTATTAGTCGGTTGCTGCGCGATGTTTGTGGCCGCTTGAAGAGCCGGCGATACTCCATGGTCAGTCATCCCTGAAAAAATGACAATAAAATGGGCAAAGTTAGAGAGAAAACAAGAAAAAAAAGGTATTGAACGAAGAAAGGAATGATTCTTAGCGTTTCACGCATATAGGACTCATTTTCACAACTAAAAATCCTACTTCCGACACATTAGCTTGAAAATTCTTCAAAGTTAACGATAAAATGAAGAGATTTATTGGAGGTGACACCCAATAAGAAATTCAGTTTTTTGAAAGAGTCGTGCGCAAACAAAAAAGCAAATGAGCGTGAAAATGCTCTCACTGAAGCAATCCTATTCATTGACGGGGTTCTTTCGGCATTAGGTGCGAAATGGAGCCAAAAGAGAGTCGGTACTAGAAAAATGAGGGCAAATAACAATTAGATGGTGTGAAAAAAATCTGAGGAACATATCAATTCCCTTATATACCATATCAATCCTTTACAAATCGATTTACAACTATTCAATTGAAACTTTGATTTCCATAATATTATGGTTAAACGAGGCGAATTTGTGTTTTTTATAAACACTGGAAAAGGGAAACAAAAAAAGACATTTTATCGATAGTGAACGAAAAAAAACCGTGTTGTGACCACGAAATGGTCAATTCGTCGTCGACTCATTGCACGTAGCGAGCATCCATATCGTGGAAAAACGCGACAATCGCCGTGAAAACCTCCGGTTTCATCTTTTTTCACCGAGAAAACTTTGCACAGAGTTTTCTAAGAAAACTCTTTCCAAGTGGGGTAAAGTTTGAAATAATAATTATTCAATAATTAGAGGCAGAACTACTAACATGCGATCACATTGGAGAAAAAAATTAACTTGATTTCTAAAAATGAATTTCTTAAGTCTACACCAAAACGCAGCAGCTGATTCGATTTGAAATGCAAGTTTGATCTGGAAGGAACACATCATTCGAAATACCAGGAAACTCGGCAAGAGCCTAAATGCCTTAGCCCAAAAAGACTCTGAAATGAAAGGCAAAAAGGGGATTTTTGTGCAGGATACGGTAGCACATCCACGCTTTAGAAAGCGCACGTTAATAGGAATCTAACTCCCCATTAACGACAAAAAGTTGCGCAAATAAACTGGCGGAAAGTCGCTTTGAAGATAGTCAGCTAATCAACTGAAATTTACATTTAAACCCCCGTCGCAATTTCGGATATAAAAGTGAATTTCTTTGTTCCTTTTCCATTTCTCAATCAAAAGATCAAAAGAATCGATCGCGCGAGTAAACGATCGATTCACGTTGCCGTATAGTGAGAAAATAGTGAGATTTCGGAGATTTGTGCAAGAAAAGACTAAATTTGATGTCATTGACTGCTCAAAATGATGGCAAAGCGTGGTTTTAACAGTAGTTTTTTGTGTTTTTTAGAAATTTTGCCGCATTTTCACATAAAGTTTCGCAAAACCGGTTGAATGAGTGAAAAAACCTCGAAAAAGCTTCAGTTAACCAAAAATTTCGCGTGTTTGAACCTTTTTCAACATTTCCAGAGTGAATTTCGTGCAAACGCTAGTTTGCCAACGAATTTCCACGCCTTTCCCCTTTAAATCGTTGCTTCTTTTTCCCAATTTATACATTGAATGTTTAGAAATCGTCTCAATTTGCTTAATTTTAGGCGCTTCGCGGAACGCTGCGCGAATTGTTGACGCGATACACGAAAACAAATGAAAATCGAGTGCTTTCGATTGCGATTCATTTCGACAAAGCTGAGAAAAAGACAGGGTTGGATCTTTTTTTGAAACGTATTTTGAGAAATGACGTTAGCTGCACTGACTCTTGGCGGTTTCTTCCCATTATCGGAGGGGGGGGGGGGCTAAAATCAGAGACCTCTGCCATGTGTTAGACTTTTTTATCTTTGCGTAGTATCAACGTATCTATTATACTCTAGTAGCACGTTGTCAGGTCCGGGAGGGGGTCAGTCCTGCAAGCTCTCTAAGAATGGCTCAAGTTAAACACAAAAACTAGTGATAATATTATCTGTAGACAAAGTTATGAACCATCAAATTTTGATTACTGATTCACGCTGACTTCTTTTTCTTTATCCAAACTCACTCATTTAGCTAAGTTTCATAAACAAAAGACAGAAATATACTTTAAAGTTAGAAAGAATCATCCGTAAATTACGATTAGCCTTTATATGTTTTAAAAGTTGCATCTAAAGATTCGTTTTTAGTGCAAAATCGACGGCGATCGAGGGTTTATCGGCTCCCGAAGAATGTGCGGCCACTTTTCGCGCTGAACTTCTCCCGTTGAAGCCATTGAGAGGCGTGGACGAGAACAACGCCGATGACAACTGATCTCAAATGAAGAAAGGTAACGTTGCCCGGTTTTATAAAATCAAAATGATAACTTATACTAGGCAATTGCCAATGAGATTTGCAGGCCGGCTAAAGAGAGCCTCTAAATGCAGGAAAGGTTGACAAATCCTCGTGCTACATTTCATTCAAGAACTTACTGACCTTTTACCGTGATGCGGTGGCTTCTAGGGCTCGCAAAACTTCAAAACTTGGTCACTGACTTTTCCAGCTGTTTAGTGGACTTTGTGGCCTCTATTGGCTTCACGCTTAAAATCTTGGGCCTGAACAAGCCATAAGGCATGCAAAAGTCAAAAATTGATTTTTTTGGAACAATAATAACCTTGGTGGCTTCAAATCCTCAGCAGCGTTGCGTTTCAAGAAAACTTCACCCTACTCAAGTTTTGCCTTTGGACATTTGCATACGTGGCTGCTTTCCTCTGCTCATATCATTGCCGAAATCATTTCCTATTTTCTATTCGTCGATGAAGTGGTTTTCAAGTCTTTTAAAGGGTGTTCGTAATCGTCTTCCCAGTTCGTCAAAGTGCGCAAAAGGTTGGATGATGAAAAAATCTATCTCTTAGCTTTGACACGTGAGAAAAGCCTCGCTTTTTACAATCAGTTTAATCTTGATGGGGGAACGTCTTGCTTTTTGTTTAGTTAAAAGGGTCCCATTAGTTTGGCTTCATTGTACTTTTGTGATATTTGCGAAAAATGTTTGCCACTAGCCTTTCTCTTGAAGTTTTTTCTACTATTACTATCAACATTATCCCATTGTTCTCTAGATGCTCGCAATTCTCCCGACTCACTCCCCGACAGCTCCGTTTCGATGACCACCTCCACCTATGTGTCATTTCCGTTGTATCTGCCCGACGAGGAGCCGTTCGAGTTTTATGGAAGATCATCCGACTCAACGTGGTCAACAATCACCCTCTTCGGCGAACAAGTACCCTCGAAGCCGCCACGACGGTTTATTGATCGAGGTTCTGTTTTGTGGGGGGTTAACATTTTTGATCATCAAAAAAACTTTGGAAAGAGTCTCTAAATTTAACAAAATGAACCAACAGATGACATCATTGGCTTTTTTTGGCCTGTGCTCTTCGATTTTCTGAGGCCAGACAAAGCCGGGTCACTCTTTGTGGCTTTGGTCAGGCTTTTAGCTTTTGAACACAGCCTTGGTAAAGATTTTATTTCGAGGTCAGGCTTTTAGCTTTTCGCAGCTCTGGTAAAGATACTCTAAAACGTACTCTTTAGCGCTAAATTTTTGGCAAAATGTTGCATCAGCCCATAGACTATTCAAATTGACAGAGAAGACAGAAGCCAGGTCAGCAGGTCCTTCTGACCTTGCCTGCCCTGGCCTGGCCCTCGAAAAGTTCGCCACGAGTCTTGGCTTCTGGGTCTCGACCTCGACAATGCCTTGGCTGGCCTGTTCCTTGCTTACGGGGTTCTAGGTTGGAGCATCCCTGCCAACAATTATTTCTTGTTCAATGTTAGTACTTTCCTTTTCAGATGGCGATGTCTACTCGATGCATTCAAGACGCTCTCGTGAATTGCCAATGGGTGAGAAGTACGCGGTGGAAATGGTGGAGAAGGGGAAGGTGTGTTTTTGCATTCATTTTCATTTAAATTTTTATTAACTTCAGAGCGGTGTTCGGTTGATTGAAAGACCATTCGGCTATGACACCAAAGTGGATTACGGAGATACGAAGGCTTGTTTGTTTTTTCGAGTGCTAGTGAAAACTGCCGTGCCTAGCTGGTTATTCCAAATCATCCGATGCTCGAATCACCTAGTTTTCAAATTTTAAATAGTGATTCTTGATTTAGTTTGAGAAATCCTGTCTTGTTTAGAGTTTCACCTCAGAAATTGGTCAACATCAGCAGAAAACCGACTCTGAAGAAGCCCCAAAGAGTGATCCGACCGTTCAAAGCACGACCACAAGTCTCATCTGGGAAATCGAGCCGGAAGAAGACGTGGAAGAGTATGTGGGAAAAGAGGTGCACACTGAGGGTGGACGCTTGGATAAGGTGAGCTAGCTGGGGATATTCTTGAATTACCCGGGTTTTTTTGTGAGACGTCGAGTGTTGAAGTCGAGGAGATTTTTGAACTCCACAAAATCCCCTTGAAATATTACCCTAAAACCAAAAATAAAGCATTTGGTTAAGCCCGCAGAAACCCATCAAAAAGATGGATGAGTCTCTAAATTTAAATGAATATTTTAAGGAGGGGGGTCTCTTTTATGGCTTTAAAATAAAGCTGATGGCATGAAAATAAGTTTGAACCACGTCGGAGGATTTATACTTGGATTTACTTGAACTAGTTACCTAAAACTTTTAAGTTGTTGGGAGATAACCGAAAAGTGAAAGTGTCTTATTGGAAATTTGTTTTCTAATTCCGTTGTCATTGCAGGCATTCACGCAAGGAAGATCGGTTCAAATGGCGGCCGCAGGCAATGGCGGCGTTGATGGAGACGATTCTCGTGTTGTCACGCTTCAAGTCGGCTTCCCGATGGAGAAATGAATGGAAAACTCACGTCTGCTATCTTTTTTTTTTATGGAATATCACTCGACGGATTTTTCTTGCGAAATAAATACGAATTTGACATTCTAGCGAATGGAAAGAGATTTTTTAGAACTCGTTAACCGAACATTTTTACATTAAAATTCTATGAAATTCTATGCTATTCTGTGATATGCCAACTGGACCCGGCCAGTCACTACATAGTGCAAAAGTCTGCAAACAAAAGTGCGTTCGTTAAGTCGGAGTTGCGAAATAGGATCGAATTAACAAAGAGTCCGTTCTTCGTTTTCCCTCCGTTCCACCGATTTCCCGTTTCCTCAATTTTTATCGCCCATCCCAATCATTTTTTTCTCTTTTCTTGAAGGGTTCAACTCGCAAGCAAAAACGTGACTTCCAAAATCGAAAACAACATCGAACAAAAAGTTAAATGACACTTTTTTGTCACTTTATTGCGTTTTTGAAATTCTTGGGGGGAATGTTGCCTTCGAAAATATTTAAAGGCAAAAAAAGACGATGTAAGTCCAGCAACGAAACTTTACTTGACTGAATGATCCGGGAATTCACATTTTGCGGTCTACTTTGAGATTGAGTCTTGTAAACGCTCGCCTTCTGACGCATCCCAGTTTTTCGATTCTCAGTTTTTCTTTGTAGCAACGACGTAAGAAAATTCAGAGATTCAGTGCGCCAGAAAGGCGTGCGTCTACAGATTTTGAGAGCACAAAGTACACACAGTCAGCCAAAAGCTTTGACTCACCTGGGCTCGTTCACATTTCGAAATGGTGACCTTAGGAAAGAGCTATCGTACTCCGTGATAACCCTAAACAATCGATTAATTGAGATATTGAGTGGGGTGTATCCAGAATCGATACAGTAACCCCCCAACGCAAGTGCGCCAGAAAGGGAACGCTTGCACACTTTACTGAAAGCGAAAAGCCCGGGGTCGAGCTCGTAATCGTTCGAATTGCTCATTGACTCACCCTCAAAAATGCATCTCATTTCTCTAGTTGACCTCGATCACTTTTCTTTTCTTTCATTTCTTCAATTTCTTCACTTTTCCCCCCTCAATTCCTCTTTTTTTACTATTTCAGCTTGAAACGCGTCTCACTTTTTGTTCCCCAAAGCAAATTGGAAACAATAGAGAAATAAAAGGTCAATGAAAAGCTTTTTTTTTTCTTTCGTTTTTTCGCACAGTGAAAAAGAACAATTGCTTTGTCATCGTCGCTGTCGTCGTTTTCGTCGTCGATGAAAAGCGATCAGTATAGTTTTTTGAAAGTTCTAAAGAAATGAATGCAACTTTACTAATCGTAATAGTTGAAAGTCGAATCCGGAATTTGGGGTAAACTGCAGCACTTGATTTAGGTTCAGATTCAGGTTTTCTTTCAAATTTCTACCTTTTACCGAAAGAGTACACTTTCCTTTCACCGAAAGGGTACACTCAGTAAAGTTTCTGGCACAATGGCACTGTAGGCTGGATAAAGAAACTTTCTGGTAGAATAAACAGTAACTCTTTAGTCAAATAAACCTTAGCTGGATGTCACAGAAGATTTTTGCAAAGCTGGAGAAAGCGTGGGACAACATTCTTCAATATATCAAAAATTCGATCCTCTACAAAACCTTGTGTACTTTATTTAAGAGAAATCCGGGGAGATAAGCAAAATTTTGTTGAGTTTAAGGCCTCAATCAATCCCTCATTTGGCCTAAACCTTTGAAACTCTAGAGAACTCAAGAAAAAACAGGATGGGACAATGTAGGAGAGACAATATCGGAGGAGAAAGCTATTGGGTTTAGATGAGCTTTCGCTTTAGACAAGTTTACCCATTCGGATCCCTGACTATTTCAATCCCGTGGAGAAGGGGCTTAGTGGGCTTAGGCTTAGGTAATTGACAACCAGTTCACCATATGAATGGTGAACTGGTTGGTCAATTAACGTTGCTTGACTTGACCGATCTAACGGGATACCGTGTTTCAACGTGGCGCGGCTGCAGGCTTTGAAAGCTGTAGGCTGCATGAGCTTTCGCTTTAGACAAATCTACCCATTCGGATCCCTGGTTATCCCAAATTACCCTAGCTTTACCTCATAAGAAATCGTTTTTTCAATCAATAGTCAATAGACCTGATAAAGTAACTTTCTAGTACAGTAAACAGTAACCCTTTTAGTCAAATAAAAAGAAAGAAGAGAGAACTCAAGAAAAAGTATAAAATTATGGTGTTTGGTGGGTGGTTCCGCCCTTTCTCGCGTCAATGTCAGCGTTTGATGATGACCACACAAAAAGATGGGATCAGCGTAGAAAACGAGAGGCGTCGCCCCGTCACTTTCATTTCACTAACCGCCTCGACTATTGCCAGCTTTCGAGCTGCTTTCCAGAGTCGCCGATTCTTGAAAATCGTTTCACTGATCATCGTTTTTTCGCCGCCTCAAATTGCTCAATCAAGCTCAATCGCTCGTTCGACTTTGTGCGCAAACAAACGCGCGCGCTTTCGTTCGCTCTTTTTTTTCTCTTTATGTTTTTGGGTTCAGTGTTCAGATGACCGTGTGATGTCCAGATTACTCGATATTCAGCTAGGCGTACTGTAAATCTTAGCAATACCCATCTGTGCCATCCAGATCATCGAAAAAAGCGACTTTCTCTTTATGAAATCGTTTCCACTTCAGCTGAATAGTCATCTAATCGAATTGCTCTCTTTTCTCTTCTTTTTTCTTTCTTATTTTATTCGAATTGGAGCTCCAGAAATGAGAGTTTTCCAGTTTTTCTCCAGTTAAAGCTTGGGGTTTTTTTTAAAAAGAAATATCTATTCTCAACGATTTTCAAATCAATCAAATTAATCAAATTAATCAAATCAATCAAAACAATTAAATAAATCAAAACAATCAAACCAATTCCCATTTATTTTATCTTAAAAATTAAAATTAGACAAAGCTACCGTAATCCCCGAATGTCTGATTTGTCTGATTTGTCTGATTTGTTCATTTACATATAAATAGATTAAAATCTCTCGTTGAATGCTTGGATGAGCTCCAGGAATGAGGGATTTCCTTTTTCGACTCACTACTGGACAATGAAATATCATACTTGAAAAACGAGCGTCACTTCCCGCGCGTCTGTAACTCCCTTGTCTTTACCGTATTTCTAAATATTAATATTACCATTGTGTAGCCATTGAAAAGAGCTTTCAAAAAATGCATAACACTAATAGTTTAAACTCAAAGACAAGGGAGTTACAGACGCGCGAAAGTGACGATCGGTCTGACGATCGTTTTTCAAATATCATATTTCATTGTCCAGTACTGTAAGTCTTGAAACTTTTCGAATTTGCTGGGAAACTCGTGCAACTCGTGCAACTCGTGCAACTCGTGCAAGTCGTGCAAGTCGTGCAAGTCGTGCAAGTCGTGCAACTCGTGCAAGTCGTGCAACTCGTGCAACTCGTGCAAGTCGTGCAACTCGTGCAAGTCGTGCAACTCGTGCAAGTCGCTTTTTTCAGTGATCTTGATGATAGAGTGATTGCTAACAATTACTAGTACGCTTAACAGAATATCAAGCAATCTGGAAAGCACAAAACATTTTTATCTATTAGAGAAGAGTTACAGTATCCATTTGATTCTTCTCAACTCTACTTTACTAGCTTTCGGTGCTTTTGGTGCTTTTGGTTTACTTTGTGCTCACGTAAACGGATCCTTTCTATCGCTGTAGGGCATTTTCTTTATTGAAAACAATCGCGAATGACAGTGCAATAGAAATGATGCGTTTACAAGAAAGCAAAGCAAAAGTTTATCTTGTTTTTTTTTTGTTTGGTTATTTATCAGAAATATCTTTAAGATTAACAAAGTCATGCATCGTTTATCCATTATCGTTCTCTTCATTCTCATCAGTTGTCAAGTAAGTTAAATAAACGAGAACAGGGATTAGAGTTTAAAAGGGAACAAAGGGGAACAAAGGAGAACAAAAGGCTCACCCAAAAGCCTCGGCTGGGACTCGAACCCTCGACTTCTCGCCTCCCAGACAACTATGCTAGCCATTACACCACGATGGTACTTCGTGCCCCTCGCTCCAGAAGGCATTAAGTTTAAAGATGAGCAGAGTTGAAATGCTAGGATTGATTTAGGTGACTCTGAGAAATCGGTTCCTCTTTGTGTAAGGAAGAATTCGGGGCTAGCTGGCTTGGCTTAGGCTAAGCCAAGCCAGCTTGCAAGCCAGCCAAGCCAGCTTACAAGCCAGCCAAGCCAGCTTACAAGCCAGCCAAGCCAGCTTACAAGCCAGCCAAGCCTAGTTAATTTCAAGTTAATTGCTTCCCCCTTAGCCCATCTTGGAGCTAACCTGGATTTCAAAAAAACACTCTCCAAATCTATTCATCGCTTTTTGCAGCTGGTCTCCTCTCATCCGAAACGCGAGCGTCGTCTCGTGCTCAAGCCAGGCAAGGTGATCATGGTTTGTTCATTGAAAATGTACTAACCAATAAGCAGAAGAAAAGAGAGTTTCTTTCAATTTCTCCCGTCTAACTTTCTTGGTGTTAGGGGGAATCCCCAGGAATTCTTTTAACTTTTCATTTTCTAACTTTTCGTAGATTTAATTACATCTGCTTTTGATTTCAAACGATGAATCGATTGTTTATTTGAAGTTATGACCAAAGTACGCTATACAACTATGAACGGAGAGCAGATATCAGCTCAATTTCATTCTAATGTTTTCAGATCGAGCCAGCCGAGGGCGTTGAGGGATCGGGTGAAGGGCTGAAGAAGAAAGATGAGGAGAAGGTTGAAGAGGGATCTGCAGAGGTGAGGAGAAGACGGGGACTGTAGAGGGGATTGTAGAGGAGATTGTAGAGGGGATTGTAGAGGGGATTGTAGAGGGGATTGTAGAGGGGATTGTAGAGGGGATTGTAGAGGGGATTGTAGAGGGGATTGTAGAGGGGATTGTAGGGGAGTACTGTAGAGAAGTACTGTAGAGAAGACTGTAGACGGCTACTGTGGACGGGTACTGTAAATGGGTACTGTAAAGGAG